CGCCAGCAAACGCTTGGGATATAGAGATTGTCCCGGCGTAAGGGATGTACAGTGGGCCGTGGCCAAGGTGGATATGGTGGTGAGAACACTTCCAAGGGCCGCCGTTGATGTCTCACTGTCAATCGCCTTGGACGGACATCCCTCAAGCTTGGCTGCCTCCGCCAAGTGCTGCAAGAACTCCAAACTGCGTTTGCCAGAGGAGGCTGCGCCAAAGGCTACGAAAGTAAAGGAACCCCTGTCCTGAAGCTTCCGAGCAATCGCTTTCACCAATGATCTGACTTGTTCAAGAACCCAAGTGGACTGTGCCAGGCCGTCCCCAAGTCCAAACTGCAACCGTCTCTTTTGATCACTTGGTCGACCATCTGTCAGAAACACAACATTAACATTGCAGCTGTTGTGTGTGAGGCACGACGAAACGACTGCATGGGCTTTCTCGAAGGCAGGTATAAAGTTGCCTTGTCCTTTGGGTTGGCTGTGTTCGATACTCTGAAGTAGATCAATGATCTTGTTGTACGTAAGCAGGTCATAAGGCTCCTTGTCAAGGAGAATGGTTGTGGAGTCGCGCATGTCCATGATAGTGATCGCATCATGGCCACCACAGGCCTGTGGCTTGACAATGGTCTCCATGAGGTTGAGAAGAATCTCGGTGAACACAGCCACCGATCGATTTCTGGCACCTGGTACATCACTCATCTTCATAGAACCACTCTGGTCAATGATGAAGATTGTGTGATTTGAAATGCTACGGGGATTTTCCTTCAAGAACTGTCGATGATCTCTCCAGTGTGTCATAGTTTCCCGGTGGATCTGTGAAGTCTCCACTCTTTTCAAGGCCAACCCTTTTGCCCAGCATGTGATCTGACGCCCGTCAATGTCGGTGATGTGAGTCATCCCTCGGTACTCAAACTTCAATCTCAAAAGACCTGACCAGCATCTTCACGCTCCACGAGCCGAACATGCAAAATTGAGGCTTATCATCAATATTAATTCTGAAACATGGGCCCCCCACAAACAAACCATGGGCAACAGGATGAATAGGCAAACTTCTACTTGCAGCACTTGGTATGATACCAAAACCCAATTTCACGGAAACGCGAAAGAATGAATGTGTTTCACAAGTCCTGCGAACTTCAGAATTCCCTGCGATGTGGGCGGGCCCTGCCTTTGTTTGGACCATAAGGTGTGATTGTCTCGCTTCGGCGTCCATACTGCAGCGCCGCCTTCAGATCCGCTGAGGAGATGCGCCGCTGTTGCTGCCGCAACTGGCCGTGCTGACTTTGAATAAAGTCCACCATGGAGTCCACGGAGCTTTCCATGGAGCTTGCCATAATTAATAAAAACCTGTTTCAAACCAATTACATAAGCCATGTGCACAACTTGCTTGTTTTTTGGCACTTCTTAGGCATGCAGGAAATGGCCACACTTCATGCACCAATTGCCAGGGGTGTGCTGACTGCCGTGTTGGAGGATTCAGGGAACACCCAGCCCCACCAAAGTGAACAAGCATACACACACATCATCCATTGCATCTAGAACATGAAAAACCACCCGTCCAGATGCTTGGGGCAACCCGTCCTAATGTTTGGGGCGTCGTCCAACGGAGAGGAACCTGCTCCTCGTTCGTCGGAACGCAACTCCGAGTACTTTCGCCGCTCTCGGGTGAGTCGTTCGTCTGGACCGCGTGAGGTCGCTTTGGTCACTGAAAAATCACCGAACTCTCCCACCAGCGTCGCTCCCCCACGCGACGCAAACCACCTTCATGCTGAGACGATCTTGCTGGACAATCAAAGCGAAGGAGACCTTGATTCGATGGAGCCGAGGGAGGTATGACAACTGGGTCCAAGACCGATCAGCTTGTTTAGGCGACTTTAAGAGCACTGGGCAAAACAAAGGGCTCCAAACAAACAAACAAACAAACAACCAACCGACCGACCAAACAAACAAACAAACAAACACATTTGGAATGGGGGTCTGCAACCACTGAAAGCACGTGTCAAATGACACAAAGTGAAACATGGTGAAATCCATGATCTTGAGAAACCTGATGGGTATCAATAAATGGTTCGTAATGTAACTGTAAGTCAGAAGCACATGCAAACTCCAACACGCAGCGATTGACTCTGACTTTGTTGGTCTTTGCCAAAGACCAACAAAGTCAGAGTCAATCGCGAGTCTTTGGTTTCTTCTTCTTTTGGGAGGGACTCATCTGGTCACCACTGAAACAGTGTCTCTATCCAGCAATCCCTCGTCTTGTTGCGCCTCCAATCAAGTTCTGCTATGTTTTTCAAATTCTGGCTGCTCCGTCTCGTCCCAACTGCGCCGTCGCCCTGGCACCCCGTCTGCTCCAGTGGCCCCGGCGACCTGTTCTCGGTCTCGGGGTGGTCGCGCCGACCTCCATGGAAAGGCCTCCTTTCGGAAGCCAAGATCCAAGATGTCTGGAGCCAAAGGCATCGGTATGGAACCGCTTCCTTATACTTGTATGTCAACCCGGACTTCTTGGGTGCGCGCTGGACAGACGTATGCATGACATGGCTCCCTTCTCCTGAGCACCAGCTAGTAGAAGATTTGGTGGTCAAGTAGTCAATATATATATATATATATTCACTTGATTGGGGTCACAAAGAATGATCCACAATCGCCCAAAAAGGCTCCAAAATAAGCGAGCGCCGGAAGCCAGAGGGTGAGTTTGCCTTGGCTTTTCTGACCCTCAAATAGTAAACACATCGCAAAACCAGTCTTTTTTGCCATTGTCGAGTGAACATGTCACATGTTAATGATACCGGAGCTCGCTTTTGGAGCCTTTTTGGACGATTGTTGATCATTTTTTGTGACCCTCAAATAGTAAACACATCGTAAAATAAGTGTTTTTTGTTTGCAATTGTCGAGTGAACATGTCACATGTTATATAATGATATGCTCAACACTGCGAAAATCATACCAACGGTTTTTGCCAACAGACTTGTGAGACACACTGTCAAAACCGTAGTTTTTGGATCCAAATGCAAAGCAAACCTCGTAAACTCGTAAACATTATCTGATATTTCGGTGTTTGTTTGCCGAGGTTCAAAAGGAATCAAACGGGTTCTAAAAGTAGTGTTTCTGTTTTAACACTGCCATAATCTGCCATACGACATATGTGACGATTTATTGATACCGACTAATACCGACCGGTTTGGAGTCTAAACGTCCTGTTGAGTCAGTCCCGGTGATCTCCGGCGCACGCCGAACACCATGCTAGCATGGCAGCCTGCCTGTGTGCGAAGCTTATGGCACTACTTTGTGCATCGGTGTTAGATTTGACTTCGCTCATGCTGCTCCAACCTTTTTTGACCGTCAGCGCTTGGCTGTTAAGGCCCACACCGCTGCAGCCACTCCAGCATTCGTGTAAGGTCGGTGCGCCAAAATGCGAATTGTTGTCCAGGCCGTGGCTGTTTTCCTATCAAGAGGCAGGTATCCTTCCAGGTCTGAATCCGTCAAAAGAGAAAAGGGGCCTCTGCCTATCTCTGCTTCACAACTGGGGTAAATGCATGGATGGTCCATGAATGTTCTATCTCTGCCTACCTCTCATTGACTCACCTCGCAGATTTTCTGGAATCACAAACTATCGAGAACACATCCATGTGACATGGATGTGTAGCCTGAATGCTGCTATAACCACGCTGAACCTCGTGGTTATCGCTTGCGTGGATTTTCATGGAGTCTGGGCACTCCTTGATGGGTGCCATGCATCACCTTGACGCCACCGACCTCCAAGGTCTGCGGCCCACCGTCCCCCGGTTTCGGGGGGGTCAGCCGCCAACGACCTGCGTGCACAGCACAGCTGTAAGAACGACCAGCTTCGTGCGCTTTCGGTGGCCAGATTTGGGAGATGGGCTCATGAGTATATAGGGCCCGGGCAGTCTAGTAGTCATTCACTGGGTCCTCTTCCAACACGATCCAACACCAATATGATGCGAAGTAGTATACAAGCCTTGCGACTTTTATGAGATGATTGATGGTGGGATGTGCATTTCTTGGTGGGCGATCGGGTCGCATGTAAATTGCTTGCCCACTTCAGGATGGCTGAGGAGTTGGCGAGCCTCTTGGGACACTAAGAGGCTAAGGCGGCTAAGGGCATTGGCAAGGCACTTTTGAGAACTGAAAAGGTTTCATGCAACTTCACAAAGGATATATAAATCTGGAACACAAAGGAATGGTCACCATATACTATACCTACCTCAGGGCTTGTCGATCTACTCCAAGACGCGATTACTGCTGGAAGCAAATAAACTACTTCCTGACCTCTGTGTTTTGGGGTTTCCAGCATCCCTGCAAAACCAGTAGCAGCTTAGCAGCTGTTGCCTTGGTTTAAGCTGTGCAAGCATGCAACTCCCCGCCCAGCGCAGCGGCCGGACTAGGCATCATGGCTTTGCTGTGGGGGAAAACTAGATCTGGGTCCTTTGCAGCCATACAACCAGCACGAGAGGCCATTAAAGACAGTTGCCAAACCTTGTGGTAAGTTCAGAATGAATGCCACAACCCCCTAAGTTACTAAGATGTGGTACCTATGCTTGATCTAATGTGTCTTTGCTCAGAAAACTCCACCACTTGCCATCATCCTGGTTGTTGGCTGTGACCTGATGCGACTAACGAGGCTCATGTTGTGCGTTGGCAAGTGAAACAACAAGCACCTCAGCCAGCCGGCGGTCGACACAAGACTTCTTCTCATAGGCAGTCTTGGCATGCACCTCTTATCAAGATTGTTTTCTCACAAACAGCTTAAGGCATCTTGCATGCAAAGTCTCATCTCCTTGCTCTCTTTAAATCATGGAAGTGGAATGGGCACAGTTTCTAGAAGAAGGCAGGAAGTCTTCCTCCTCAGGCCACGGTGGTCTTGACATCATTTCATCAGCAACTATGAATGAGATTGACTTGATCGCAAGTATCCCCAGGACTCCTGGCTGACACCCCGCACTCCTCAAACAACTGCAAAATGCGGCGCCCATTAAAGCCCAAGTCGCCTATCCGGCCTCCACCAAGGCGGCCAAGCGCCTGTCGGAACAAGTGGGTTGGACCGCCACAGGGCCCAGGCCTAGCTCACGAAAAGATCTCTTTGTGTCACCCCCCACAGAAAAAGGCAAAAAAACAAACAAGACACATGGGAATGGTTTGTTCGCCAATCACTTGGGGTGGTTGAAAGGGGGATCAATATAAATACTCCACACTATGGAGTCTTTAGGTGTTCGGTCACCGGCGCGCGATCGATCGACCGCCTTCGAAGGCGTTGTTGCATCAGATCCACGTCGTCATGCAACGCACCCATGCCGTCCTCACAGGATCGTCGTCAGGTTTTGGCAGTGCGGTCATGTTTTGTTGACCCAAGTTTTAGCTTACAATTTATGCACACATGCTCGGGGTTTGACGGATCAGGGGTTGTAGTGGGTTGTGCCATTTACTCTTTCAAAAGAAGTGTCAAGTATTTATATATACACTGTCAAAGGGCAAAATGTGATCATGTTTGATGATGATGATCACAACCTCATGTTTCGACTCTTGATCACAAATCCTCGGAAGCGTCAGCAACCTTCGGACGAAGATCAGGATCGAAGTCACCTGGCAATCTTGCATCTGGAAGGAGGTGATGGAGATGGCCACAGTATAGGAACTTAGGAACTCTGTGAACATCCAACATGACGAAGGCCGTGGTTGTGGGACCACAAGTGTCACAGGTGAGTGGACTAATTAATGCTCGGATGTGCCGGGCATTTCCACAATTTTCCACAAGACAACACCGTGCTTCTTTCTGTGGTCGCCCCTCACAGCATCACAACATATCCCAACCATTCATTGGCTGTTTGGATTGGTGGGAGCTGGCTTTCACGATCTTCCAGTGTCTGGGTGGATAGCAGTAGTGTCTGTGATGACCGAGCAGTCCCCTACCCTCGGACAGCACACTGCCGGGCCCAGCCGGTCCAAACAGCCACAAACCAAAGAGATTGGGCATGGGCCACTTCCATGACATCGGTTTTTTTTCATCAGGGCATCTCCACCCCAAACATCCCCACCATCCAGGCATAGAAAATGAATAGTTGTGGAATGTTGTGGATAGCAGCCAGCTGGGTGCGCAGCTTAGCCGCTGGGTGCGCCTTGCGCCGAGTGCTGACCGATACCTTTTCCCCCACAGTTCTGACGCTGACGCTGGGCGCGCCGCGAGGTACTCAAAACGTCGAGCGATGAAGGCTGAAGCACTCAAGCCGAGAACTGGAGGTGACATGCAACAGGTGCTTAAGCATGGCAACATGATTGTGAAGGTGCAAGTTTCCAAGCAAATCAAACAAGCATCGTCAAGCATACTGTCGGAGCGGTACAGCTCCCACATGGCTAGCCAGAGGCAAGCTTCAAGACGTATATCGATACTCTGTTACCGTATCTTGACGACGATGACCACCTCGATTCTGTCGCCATTGCCATTGCTTGTCAATCGGATTCAATTGGCTTTACTTACCAGTGAGCAGCCAAAAGGGCTTGGCCGTCAGCCAATAGGATCCCGCCAGAACCATGCTTGCAAGCAGAACATGGCAAGGTGTATCGCAGTAGCCATTGTCCTTGTTGTCCGCCGTTTGTGGAGTGCCTCCACAGGGCCAACGTGCTGTCTATCCACCAAGCTATGTTCGTGAGCTGTTGGCTTCGTTTCTTGTAGCCGCCACCATAACCCATGGATCTCGGACGGTTGGTCGGCACGTCGGCTAAACATTATGATTCATCCACCCCATGCATGCCAAACACAATGCATGCATAGATTTACATTGAAATCTCTGAGAAAAGCTGGCATCCTTCGCAAGAAACACATGAGTTCCAACATGTTCCAACCCTTTCAACATGATCAGTGCTCAGTGTAAGTGGCCAAAGGATTCCAAGAAAGGTTCTGACATGTTCTGAAACATAGACCTGGCCGTGTCGGGCTAAGAAGACCAGGCTCCTGACCTATCAAAAGCAAGGATTGTGAAAAACCTGGTCTGTCGAACACTTGACTTTTCAAGAAACTCACCGGCCCTCCGAAGTCCCAACCAAACAGATTCTTCTTGCCAGAGCTTCCCGGTGGTGTTGGATGGTGCTGGGTTCCGGGACCCAAAGCTTTTGAAAAAGACTCGGATATGATATATATATATATATATTTTTTTTTCTGAAATGATCAGGTTCGGATCGCGATGACCCACATGATCCCAACAAATCCCCTGCAAACGTACGGCCAGTACGCCCGGCCAGTACGCCATCCCTGGCGCCTGGCTTGGAGTTCTTCCGCTTGGGCTGAGGGACCACACGCCCATCCTGGCAGAGGTCAGTCGAGTGGGATGCACTTTTGTGTATCACCGGCGGGGTAGCAACCGGCATCCCAATGGACACACCCCACAAGAGATATCGTCTGCACGGGCAAACTAACTACTGTAGTGACACTCGTGCAAAGTAATTATATGGTTTGCCTACATAAGCCTTTCGGACATATATAATTGGCCACACATAAGCTGCGGGCGGGCAAAGTGTGTAGATGCATCCCTTAAGCAAAGGTCTAGCCTAGTCAAGGGCAAATTCTGACGGAAGAGTCCTTGCTTGGGATGTGGTACCTCAAGAAACCATTCAGTCACAAAAAACTGAATCTCACATTTGCACAAACCTCTCAAACTCCTGGTCGTGGGGTCCGGAAAGGTCAGTTGAGTGCAAGTGGCTCCAGGAAATGCCGAGCACCTTATCAGGTCATCATTTTATCGTCATGTGAATGTTGGCCTGTAAATTGTTTTTTTTCTTGCTCTTGTCTGTTATGTGTGCGTTGTTTGGCTTTCCATCATGGGACGTCGGACTAGGGCTTTGGCATGTTTCAAGAACCATCACGAACCTTTCCTTGGCTAAGAATGGCCTCACTTCTCCGACGAAGTGAGAATCCTCTGCCAGCTGTGCAGGCGCTCACCCAACGATTAGACCACTGTGCCTCTGCTTTGCGGCTCTGGTCAAGATCCTGCCGAGAAACACGCCATGCACCACTACCCTGATTGGATCCAAACTAGCAGCTAGCTAGCGGCTGAGGCCGGGTTCTTGCATCAACTTCCTTCCAACAAATCCAAAACGACCCACATGTGTGGCCACATGAGAGGTTTGGCCGTTCTCAACCCCTACTCAGCAGACCGCCTCGCGCTCGCGCTTCGACGTCTCCGCACGGTCGAACTTGCTGGCGTAGCTTTGGCTGAGACCGTCGAAGGCAAATGACGTCGGCGCTAGACGGGGCGGGTCAAAAACGACACATGTCACATGCAGCATGAACCTTTCTAGATTTTGCCCCTGTGATCCCAAACTCATATGTCTGTCAGTGCGCTGGAAAAACCTCCTATGCTGTGGTTGCCTAAAGGGCAAGCACGGGCAAGCCATTATCCAGCTTGTTGCACTGCTGTGCAAAGACTCGTGATTTGGGCAGCTTCGCTAGCAAATACCACAAGGGTTTTGCTGACTGCCCGGCCAGGCTGTGTGGACTGAACATGGGGGCACTCCTATCCTCCACACCTCTCTCCGGAGTCTAAGACGATTTTAAGATGGTCTTTACATGTCCCAAACCTATGGGAATTTGATGGAACTTTGTGAACACTTCGGTGCTGCTTCGGCCTTCGGCGGAGCGAAAACGGACCTTCCAGCCCATGCTTCCTTCGCTCGCTCCATCGCGGAGGCGGAGACGGAGCCGGGTCCAGTCCGAGGGATCCTGTCCTGGGCCAAGGTGAGGTCCAACTGCTGGCCGTTCTCTGCCTGAAATCGGAGGCAAACGCCGAAGAGTCCGAAACCAGGGCAAACTTCTCGCCGTTGAACGGTCGCTTCCTCAATTTCGAAAGGTATACGGTGCAAGAATTGGAGCTTTTGGAAGCTTTTGAAGCAAGTGCTTCGAGCCGAAGCTTCCAACCATTTGCTCTGTTCATCCCTTAGGTCATCTTAAGGTCCAGGGGCAGTCACGCTGGATGCAACAAGGGGACCTTTACCAACCATCTCCACCAACCACCACCGGCCTGGTGAGGGGCCTGGCACCAGCCTTCGTTGATTCACAAAATCACCAATCCAAATGATGTGATTCATCCAGATTCTACGATGCTCCGACCCCCACATGATTGGTGGGTTCACCACACCATGTGCTCAGACCACCAGGTGACTTTGGGCGAATCTGTCTGCCTTGACGGTGCCAGTGCGGACCCATTGACGGATCGCGGCATAGGTGTTGGTGTCCTCCCACCTGACAGTGTCATCCATGGACAATGGGTGAGTCCCATGTGAACACCCACCTAAGGCCTAAGGTTTATCATGGGGGAGGCATGAGACGCATGATAGAAGTCTCGTGATGTTGAGACTCTGATTTTCTGAGCTCTGATGTCACTTCGAGACTTAGATGAAGAAAATGACACCTCATGAAACCTCTACATCTCATCTCTGTCATTTGCCCACTTCTTTGGTGCGTTGGCATCAAAAATGAAACAGGAAATCAGCAGCTGTACCTCTGCAAACACAAAGGTGAACGAGCCGGGCCGGGCTGCCCTTTTTTTGGCAGCCATTGGTGTCCAGTCATGCCCTATTATTGGCCCTAGTGCATTTAGTTTCCAAGGCACTAGCTGGGAGGAATGCACCAGTGATTCCAAAGCAAAAACTCAAAGACCGGTTGGGTTGGTTTCCTGGGATATCCGCTGGGTATGGGTGTCACCTGCTGACAAGGCCGAAGCATCACCAAAAAAGCCTCGAGGATTTGAAGTTGCATCTGACTTCAGCTGAGGCATTGGTCACCATTGGTCAAAGGGGAGCTTCAAATCATCACCCAGGTACTTCCAACTCTGTCAGACAGTATGCTAGCCACAATCGCTTGCAAAGAGGCTTGGAAGTTCCAAGCACATGTCAGACCTATCACTTCCGGAATCAGTTTCGGACGACAACAGGAGCCTCTCCCACGGATCTTCACATGTTCTGGATCATATCTCTAGGCTTTGAGCGACCAAATGTGCAAAAAAAGAAGCACTGCATCGGATGCCCTCACTACACGTCCAACCTGAGGAGGGCTCCCTAGATAACCATAAACTTCACCCACCTTTACCATCCCCTTTCAAGGCTGACTTCTGCTTCTTTCCGCCAGTATCTCAGCTCTCTTGCTGTCAACTACTTTGCCGCCCAAGCGTCTTGGAGGAATCCGCCACTGGACTGCTGGACTCCTGCGGAAGTGGGGGTAACTGGGGTCGGCCTTCGATCGAGTGCTGAGATGGACTGATGCTACTCTAGCTGATGCTATCGAGTATACAGCCCTGGTCCTGAAAGCTAGGCTACTAACTGGGGTAGATCCTGAACATGGATCCCCCTTCCTCAGAAAAGAGTCGTTCATAACGACTGCCTCTATAGTGATCCATGATACAACGACCCGGTGTTTCAGGGGCCGGCAGCAAACCCCTGCAATGACTTGCGCTCTGACGAACACAGATGGTGGAAGTGGATGGCATGGCTGCTTGGAAGACGACTTTCTTTCCTTGTTCGTCACAGGAGGTGGTCCACTCCACCGAACGACCTAACTGTCGGACTCGGAACGCCCAAGTCACGCCAACCCGACTTGCCACCCGACCGGTGTCGTCCGGGTCCCACGAGAGGTCATCGGATCGATGAGCAGCACAGAACAGTGGTTTTCAACATATCCCAAACACTCCATGGGACTACGTTCGTAGCCTTCTTGCTACTAGCAGTCATGCCCTTGTTACTACTAGCTTCTTGTTACTAGCTTGCCCCGCGTCCCATGCCCTTCCTGAAGCAGGTTTCCTGCCTTGCTGCCAGCTCGACTGCCCCCCTGTGCAAGGACCGGCACCAACCAATGGATGCTTCAAAATGAGTCAATCTACAATCCTATATGGACACCTCAATCAACCCTAAACCCGAACCTCCATACACACCTACAGAACTCACGCGGGGTACATCAGTACGCCAGCACAACCCGTATTCTAGGATAGATTCAATCATGTCATACCTTGTGAACGAGGTACATCGTTAGATGTTCATGCATGTTCAGTACCATCCACGCACATGCCTTGAAATCTGAAAGGGTTTACAGTATACATTCTGTTGCTACATTGTAGTACATCTGACCAACTGAAGAGGGACCTGGAAAGGGTCGATGATCCGATGCCTCCAGCTTGAAGCTGACGCTCTGCTCTAAAGGTTCCTGGCGCAAAGCATTTACCTCCATCGGCGAAAAAATACAAGGTGAGCCCGCGGACCCAAAAGCAAAAAGAAGCGCGCAACCCAGGAAAAATAAACAAACACAAATTAGCAGGCCAAAACGAAGCATCGGCCCCCTCCAGGCTTCGTGGCAACGATGATATTTCAAGCATCGCGGTTCTGGTGCAACACAGCTCCACTCGCCCCCCCAACAGGCTTCCGCGAAGCATGGAGCAGCACTACCCCCACCCATGCTTCGTTCTACTTGTGCACTGACCCGGAGCAGCCTGCAATGATGCTGGTGGTGCAACCATGTGCTCGACGCAACAATCCTGCCGTTTCAGCCACGACTTGACCGTCTGTCGCGTGCATTGCGCACTTTTTGGACACCCAAGACCATCGTATAAGCCCCGCAGCTCCACTCACCTCCCAACGTGCTTCCGCGAAGCATGGAGCAGCACTACCCCCACCCATGCTTCGTTCTACTTGTGCACTGACCCGGAGCAGCCTGCAATGATGCTGGTGGTGCAACCATGTGCTCGACGCAACAATCCTGCCGTTTCAGCCACGACTTGACCGTCTGTCGCGTGCATTGCGCACTTTTTGGACACCCAAGACCATCGTATAAGCCCCGCAGCTCCACTCACCTCCCAACGTGCTTCCGCGAAGCATGGAGCAGCACTACCCCCACCCATGCTTCGTTCTACTTGTGCACTGACCCGGAGCAGCCTGCAATGATGCTGGTGGTGCAACCATGTGCTCGACGCAACAATCCTGCCGTTTCAGCCACGACTTGACCGTCTGTCGCGTGCATTGCGCACTTTTTGGACACCCAAGACCATCGTATAAGCCCCGCAGCTCCACTCACCTCCCAACGTGCTTCCGCGAAGCATGGAGCAGCACTACCCCCACCCATGCTTCGTTCTACTTGTGCACTGACCCGGAGCAGCCTGCAATGATGCTGGTGGTGCAACCATGTGCTCGACGCAACAATCCTGCCGTTTCAGCCACGACTTGACCGTCTGTCGCGTGCATTGCGCACTTTTTGGACACCCAAGACCATCGTATAAGCCCCGCAGCTCCACTCACCTCCCAACGTGCTTCCGCGAAGCATGGAGCAGCACTACCCCCACCCATGCTTCGTTCTACTTGTGCACTGACCCGGAGCAGCCTGCAATGATGCTGGTGGTGCAACCATGTGCTCGACGCAACAATCCTGCCGTTTCAGCCACGACTTGACCGTCTGTCGCGTGCATTGCGCACTTTTTGGACACCCAAGACCATCGTATAAGCCCCGCAGCTCCACTCACCTCCCAACGTGCTTCCGCGAAGCATGGAGCAGCACTACCCCCACCCATGCTTCGTTCTACTTGTGCACTGACCCGGAGCAGCCTGCAATGATGCTGGTGGTGCAACCATGTGCTCGACGCAACAATCCTGCCGTTTCAGCCACGACTTGACCGTCTGTCGCGTGCATTGCGCACTTTTTGGACACCCAAGACCATCGTATAAGCCCCGCAGCTCCACTCACCTCCCAACGTGCTTCCGCGAAGCATGGAGCAGCACTACCCCCACCCATGCTTCGTTCTACTTGTGCACTGACCCGGAGCAGCCTGCAATGATGCTGGTGGTGCAACCATGTGCTCGACGCAACAATCCTGCCGTTTCAGCCACGACTTGACCGTCTGTCGCGTGCATTGCGCACTTTTTGGACACCCAAGACCATCGTATAAGCCCCGCAGCTCCACTCACCTCCCAACGTGCTTCCGCGAAGCATGGAGCAGCACTACCCCCACCCATGCTTCGTTCTACTTGTGCACTGACCCGGAGCAGCCTGCAATGATGCTGGTGGTGCAACCATGTGCTCGACGCAACAATCCTGCCGTTTCAGCCACGACTTGACCGTCTGTCGCGTGCATTGCGCACTTTTTGGACACCCAAGACCATCGTATAAGCCCCGCAGCTCCACTCACCTCCCAACGTGCTTCCGCGAAGCATGGAGCAGCACTACCCCCACCCATGCTTCGTTCTACTTGTGCACTGACCCGGAGCAGCCTGCAATGATGCTGGTGGTGCAACCATGTGCTCGACGCAACAATCCTGCCGTTTCAGCCACGACTTGACCGTCTGTCGCGTGCATTGCGCACTTTTTGGACACCCAAGACCATCGTATAAGCCCCGCAGCTCCACTCACCTCCCAACGTGCTTCCGCGAAGCATGGAGCAGCACTACCCCCACCCATGCTTCGTTCTACTTGTGCACTGACCCGGAGCAGCCTGCAATGATGCTGGTGGTGCAACCATGTGCTCGACGCAACAATCCTGCCGTTTCAGCCACGACTTGACCGTCTGTCGCGTGCATTGCGCACTTTTTGGACACCCAAGACCATCGTATAAGCCCCGCAGCTCCACTCACCTCCCAACGTGCTTCCGCGAAGCATGGAGCAGCACTACCCCCACCCATGCTTCGTTCTACTTGTGCACTGACCCGGAGCAGCCTGCAATGATGCTGGTGGTGCAACCATGTGCTCGACGCAACAATCCTGCCGTTTCAGCCACGACTTGACCGTCTGTCGCGTGCATTGCGCACTTTTTGGACACCCAAGACCATCGTATAAGCCCCGCAGCTCCACTCACCTCCCAACGTGCTTCCGCGAAGCATGGAGCAGCACTACCCCCACCCATGCTTCGTTCTACTTGTGCACTGACCCGGAGCAGCCTGCAATGATGCTGGTGGTGCAACCATGTGCTCGACGCAACAATCCTGCCGTTTCAGCCACGACTTGACCGTCTGTCGCGTGCATTGCGCACTTTTTGGACACCCAAGACCATCGTATAAGCCCCGCAGCTCCACTCACCTCCCAACGTGCTTCCGCGAAGCATGGAGCAGCACTACCCCCACCCATGCTTCGTTCTACTTGTGCACTGACCCGGAGCAGCCTGCAATGATGCTGGTGGTGCAACCATGTGCTCGACGCAACAATCCTGCCGTTTCAGCCACGACTTGACCGTCTGTCGCGTGCATTGCGCACTTTTTGGACACCCAAGACCATCGTATAAGCCCCGCAGCTCCACTCACCTCCCAACGTGCTTCCGCGAAGCATGGAGCAGCACTACCCCCACCCATGCTTCGTTCTACTTGTGCACTGACCCGGAGCAGCCTGCAATGATGCTGGTGGTGCAACCATGTGCTCGACGCAACAATCCTGCCGTTTCAGCCACGACTTGACCGTCTGTCGCGTGCATTGCGCACTTTTTGGACACCCAAGACCATCGTATAAGCCCCGCAGCTCCACTCACCTCCCAACGTGCTTCCGCGAAGCATGGAGCAGCACTACCCCCACCCATGCTTCGTTCTACTTGTGCACTGACCCGGAGCAGCCTGCAATGATGCTGGTGGTGCAACCATGTGCTCGACGCAACAATCCTGCCGTTTCAGCCACGACTTGACCGTCTGTCGCGTGCATTGCGCACTTTTTGGACACCCAAGACCATCGTATAAGCCCCGCAGCTCCACTCACCTCCCAACGTGCTTCCGCGAAGCATGGAGCAGCACTACCCCCACCCATGCTTCGTTCTACTTGTGCACTGACCCGGAGCAGCCTGCAATGATGCTGGTGGTGCAACCATGTGCTCGACGCAACAATCCTGCCGTTTCAGCCACGACTTGACCGTCTGTCGCGTGCATTGCGCACTTTTTGGACACCCAAGACCATCGTATAAGCCCCGCAGCTCCACTCACCTCCCAACGTGCTTCCGCGAAGCATGGAGCAGCACTACCCCCACCCATGCTTCGTTCTACTTGTGCACTGACCCGGAGCAGCCTGCAATGATGCTGGTGGTGCAACCATGTGCTCGACGCAACAATCCTGCCGTTTCAGCCACGACTTGACCGTCTGTCGCGTGCATTGCGCACTTTTTGGACACCCAAGACCATCGTATAAGCCCCGCAGCTCCACTCACCTCCCAACGTGCTTCCGCGAAGCATGGAGCAGCACTACCCCCACCCATGCTTCGTTCTACTTGTGCACTGACCCGGAGCAGCCTGCAATGATGCTGGTGGTGCAACCATGTGCTCGACGCAACAATCCTGCCGTTTCAGCCACGACTTGACCGTCTGTCGCGTGCATTGCGCACTTTTTGGACACCCAAGACCATCGTATAAGCCCCGCAGCTCCACTCACCTCCCAACGTGCTTCCGCGAAGCATGGAGCAGCACTACCCCCACCCATGCTTCGTTCTACTTGTGCACTGACCCGGAGCAGCCTGCAATGATGCTTGTGGTGCAACCATGTTGCGCGTCCACACCCCTGCACTCCCCAGCCCCGTCCACACCCAAGCCACGCCGTCTCACTCCCCTCCATCTTCCCTCCCCAGCCCCGTCCACACCCATGTGCGCCTCCCACTCCCTTCCTTCTTCCCTCCCCACCCATGCGCCTCCCGTCTCGCTCCCGTCCATCTTCACGCGCCCCCCCGTCTCGCTCTCCTCCATCTTCCCTCCCAGCCCCGACCCCACGCGCCTCCCGTCCCACCCACGCGCCTTCCGTCGCGCTCCCCTCCACCCATGCACCTCCATCTTCCGTCTCGCTCCCCTCCATCTTCCCTCCCCAGCCCCTGGCGTACTTCTAGGGCTCCGTCCGACTCTGTGCCGCACGGTCTCCGACGGATCCCCAGTTTGGACCACGTGTGGCGTTGGGCCCAAATATGGCCTTTTCCTGTCAAAAAAGGTGTCAAACGGATTGTAGGTGTGTATATATATAATATATATCAACTGGTTGTTTTCAATCTGCAGCTAGTCTCCAATAACATTGCAACATGGCTTCTGACAACCGTTCCAGGAAGCCTGGAGCAGTATCGGCCCCCTCCAAGGTTCGTTCCAGCCGTGCAATTTCCCACGTTGCGCTTGTGGCACATAACGCTCCTCCCGTGTCGGCCATGCCTTGACTGTCTGGCGCATGTACTGTGCAGATTTTGGACACCCAACCCCATCGTATCAGCCCCGCAG